TTCCTTTCATCTATAATTTTGATTTTTGAGTGCCAATTTATAATCTATATTGAGCTGCTGATACTCCAACGTCTACACTTTTTGGCATTTTAAAGCAAGGAAATAGAATAAAGCATATATTGTTTATTGTTAAATCTGTGTTATTAGATGAAAAGAAGTTAGAAAGAGTACAGCTTTGCATAGCAAAAATGAGACCAGATGGACATTTTGAAGATTTCTATGATTATGCTCATAGAGATGAAAAACAGTTTCACTTAACACAAAACAGAACTCATATTCCATGATGCTAGACAAAGAAGAATCCTACCCAAACCCCACAAAGCAAACGTTTCATCACCAAACTAATGTTTATAGCCGCTGTCATCCAACCAAGTTACAAGATTTTGGTTTATTTTGTGGTAATTATGTCACTACCATGGTGAAACTTGGAAGTTTCTGAAGTATTTAATACTGTGGAATCAGTATATGTGCTTTATTTGGTCTAATACCTCTTATATCAAATATAAATGCAATTTTTTTATTGCAGTTATTGTGGCCAAGATGGCGGATTGTGAAGATGATGTTTTTCATAGTGCAAGGGAATCTTTTTTAGATGTTATTGACATTAACCTTCTTTCAAAGTGCAACATGAACCAACAGTTATCAGCTTAAAAGCTTAGAGTGTCAAAATCCTAATGAACAAGTTTGTGTGAACTGCACAAGACACAATAAAAAGTTAAAAAGTGAAGCTGAAAAGTATATATTAAACATACACCTTTTTCTCTAACGGCTACCTTTATCACATTTTTAGAACAGAACGAATTACTGCTCATATTGATCATCGCTAAAATGTTTTAAGACTGTCTTAGTTTTGTTCAGCTTAATCTGCATAAATCAAAAAGGGCTACTCAGCAGCTTAGTTTGAACCTTGAAAGTGATAATATTGATGCTGCTCTTGTTCTGGAGCTATATTATTTTAATGGTCAGCTTCTTGATTTTCAGAGTTCTCAGACAATTTTCTTTGACAAAAAATCTGATGATATCCCAAGTCTGCAATTATTATACAGAATAGTGCTATTATCGCCTTTTCTGATTTTCAAAATTGTGATTATAATGCTGCCATTGTTGACATTTCATTTAAAGGATATGAATTCACTCTTTCATCTTACTATTTTTAGCCTTCTGTTAATATTGATGCTGATCTGTGTAAAATAGACCATATTTTTTTTCCAAATAAAGTTTTAAAGTGCCTCATTGAATATCCTTGGAGCAAGGATACTTGACATTTGGTTTAGTCCTGTGATTGACTCCAGGGGTATTACACTGTGCGTATTCTTTAGTACGTGGCAGCTTTTTGTGATCAATGAAGACTATGGACCTACTTTCTGCGCAACTCAAAGAAGCAGTTATATTGATGCGACTTGTTGGACAGGTCCTTTTACAGCATGTAAAAAAATGGCATATTCCCAATCATAATTCGTTATCTGATCATAGAAAGATTTCTTTTGAAGTGAAAATTCCAGCGGCAACTATTCTCTGAATGTTGCTGGGGGAAAAAAAAAAAAAAAAAAAAAAGAGCAAATTGGAAGTATTTTCTCAGTCTTTGTGCTAATGCAGGCATGTTTATTTTAGAATCCATTGAAAATTGTACTTTACCAGCTATGTTAAGAGTTATGTGTTCATGAGTTGAAAGATTATATTGTTCTTGCTGCAGAAATGTCTATTCCTTTGAAAAGGTGTGGTTTTCATATGGTTCCCTGGTGGTCAGCTGATATATCTTGCAAGCAGAAGCAGTTAAATGCTGCTAGAAGACTATCAAAAGACAAGAAATTCCCCTTTGAGAGAAATTTACAAAAACTAGTATCTTTAAAATTATGCAAAAGTATAACTTTAAACTTGAGGAGAACAAATTAAAATCATGGAAAGAGCTTCTTTCAGATGTAACAGTACAGACTGATTGGAAGAAAATCAATGCTTATGAAGACCAATTTTATTAGAAAACTTTAAATTTCACCTGGTTACTTCTTCTTTTAAGGATACAATTCTTTCTATCATAAAGAAGTCATTCCCTCGTGATTCTCTCAGACATGATACTCATTTTCAATGACCTTTGCATTGTGAGGCCGATCTGGCATATGATGATGAATATGAAATCTCTATCTAATATTGCTCTTTCTCTGCCGTAGAGAAGTTGATTGCATGATTGGCACCTTAAGTTAGAATAAGTCTTTGGGTTCTGATAGGTTAACTAATGAAATGATTAAAAAGTTTTACATTGGTTGCCCCTCTACCTTGCATGCCTTGTTTAACTTTTCAGCACACGTGCTTGGCAATTTTACATGAGCACGCGCGAGTCGTATTTTTTAAGACATCCATTATTTAACCGTTTTGGGCACGAAAAACGACAGAAATGAGTGAATATTGATAATAAATTTTTTAAGAAATAAAATATTAATCTTATTACTGCAAAATACAAATGATATCGCATTCAAATATAAACAAAAGTTTTTATGTTTAGTGAGATGGAAATGCAATGCAAAACTGAATTTGTCGTAAATTTTGCGCATAAGCGCGAGCTGGAAGGTTAATGTATGTCTTACGCTTGGCATTTTCTCATGCTGCTGGAAGAATGGGAGGGTTATTCTTATTCCTAAAAGTACTAAGATTTTGAAGATGCATATCGATAGCATTCGTTATATCAGTTTACTTTCATGTACAGGCAAGTGTCTTGAGAAGCTATGCATAAACAGAATTAATTATCATCTCGTTCTCGTCTTTTGAGTGAAGATCAGTCTGGATTTACTCCTCGAAGGTCTGCTGATGATGCTTTGCTTTGATTATGTAATATTGTTGCTCAGGGTAAGCATAAGAATTATGTTCGTTTTCTTATTTTCTTGGACATTAAAGGTGCATTCGATAATACATGGTGACCTGGTGTTCTTCATCTGCTTCCTCTCAAAATCCCTAAGAATACATTTTATTTAATGAAAGAATTTTTTTCAGTTTCGTTTTTCGGAAATTACTTTGGGTAATATGACGAAAACATCTTATTTGGAGAAAGGATGTCATCAGGGTTACTTTTCCTGGTCCCTTTATTTGGAATCTTATGTAAGATTTGCTTTGTAATTTGAGAAAATTCCAGAACAGTTGCCAAATCACTTTTCCAGATGATTTACTAGTTATTGTACAATGCAAGAACACTAATGATGCCAATGCTCATTCTTAGAATATTTTAAACTATATTTTTGATTGGTCAAAGTGCTACAAGCTTGAATTTAACCGTTCAAAGTCAAAAGTCATGATGATACATAAAACTCAGTTTCGTTTTACAAGATTGATTTAACTCTTGGGAGTGAACCTCTTGAAGAAGTGCAATTATTGTAATTTGAATTATTGTGGACAATAAATTACAGTAGAAACAACATATATCTTATATTTCCAGTAAGAGTGAAAAAGTTCTTCTAGGTTTACTGCAAATTTCAAAGAACACTTATGTGGTTAAAAGTGATGTTCTCAAACTGATTTATAACCAAGTCATTCTACCACTCATTTCCTATGCCTCAAGGGCTTATGGGAATTTTTTAAGGAAGAAAATAAACTGTAAACTTCTTAGAAGGGTTCAAAGAAGGTTTTGCTAAACAAGTGATGTACTATGATATTGATTTAATGTTGTCTACTCCTAAGTTTTATTGGAAGCATGTGGCTTGGGATAAAACTGTGGTTGATTGCTGAATACCTTGCTTCTTCGAAGGCCCAGTGGACAAAGATGAATTTTCCCAAGTGTTTTCCAACAACTTAAGTGTAAGTATTTTCAACCAGATTACAAACTTACTCAGATTATGACCAATCATGGGAATTTTAGAATTTACTTACTTCGTTTCAATATTTGACTAGTCGACTTTATGCTTGAAACAACACTGTAGAACACATTTTATTGCATTGTAGATTGCATGTGAGTGCCAGAAGTAGAAGTACATTTAAAGTGAGTTTATGGCAGCTCTCTATTTGTTGGCCTCCTGTTTTCTCTGATCTTGCTAGGAGTTCCAAAGCCTTTGCAGTCTTATGCGACTTTATTTGTTGTTTGAATTTTTAGCATTATTATTTATATGACTGAATTTTAATCTTTTATACATCACAGTATTATTTTGTGTTTTGTCTATGAATGATTACATTATGTATATTGATGTACTGTATTGTTGATGTTTTATTTTTCCTTTGTATCAATATTATTTTAAGTATTATTTCATTTTTATCATTATTGTATTATTACTAAGTTGGTTCATTTTCTTTTATAGGAGTATTAACACAGTTTAATTATTCATAGTATATTTTAGTATTTTTTTTACAGTAGTACTGTATATTATGTTTTTTCTTTGCTTTGCATGTTATATTTTTTCTTTGCTCTCTCCAGACCTAGATATTATGTTTTTATTGTTGAATTGTATCTCCTTGTATTATGTATCATTAACTTATATCTGTAACCCTTATAGAATATTTTGTGGAACATAAGGAGTTTTGTATTTGTTTTCTTAATAATAATAATAAAAACAAGTTATAATCCCCATCATAAACTATTTTTTTTTGATGCAAAATTGGGATATGGCCCTTTGTTTATCAAGAATTATGTAAGTGAAACTTAATGGGCACAAAGGAACTTGGGTAACAAAAACTGTGGATTCCATGAATTCTGCAAGATGCAGAAAAATGATTCTTCAGCATGTAATTCTGGTGATCATGTAAGCCAAAACCAGTACATGTACAATCAGATAACGAAAAACCTCATGCTTATGATGACAACAAAAAACTTCTAGCTAACAGTTCTGAAGATGGCCATCAAGTAAGTATAAACCACAAACAAACAATCCTGATTTAAATGCTTTAGATCAGATTTTTGGAATGGAGTGAATATTTTAAACAACTTTAAATTGTAAGCAAGCATTTTATATTTTCTAAATCAGAACATGAAACATCAAAGCACATGAAACTTAATGAAGAACAACAGAAAACATGCATATACTTACTTTCAAATAACGATACTTCAGATCTGGATATTTAGATATTTTAGTCCAGTCAGTCAGAAACTGAAATGAAGCTGACGGTACAGGTGGCAGAGACTGTTCTAATTTACTTATAATTTCTCCTATTTCATATAAAGGGTTTTCTGAACTGTTATTAGCCTTTTTAGTCGATGCCATTTTGGTCTCTTCTTGTTTTTGTTCAGAGTCATCATTAGTATTCAAAACTGTAGTTGATACTATAGATTCCTAAAAGTAAAAAGAATTCAATAATGAGTTTTACAGATTACAATTAAAAATAATAAAAACATATCACAATATTATAGTAGCTAGAAACAATTTTTAATGATTCTCTAATGATAAAATTAAAAAATTTCAAAAATAAATAAAATAATTCAAATGTATTTTCAAACTTAAAGCAAAACTTTATTAATCAAGCAGAATATTTGCTAATTAAGGCCTGTTAATATAGTTATCTATTAAATTGAGCACAATGGCCAAGTTAAAAAATTTCTCTACTTAAATGGAAGAATAGAAACACTTCAGCTTGTTTTCCTTCAGAATAAATGAGAAATAATTTTTTTTTTGAAATACTTGATAAGAGATGCTAATTTAGTATTTCTGTTGAGAATTATCTGTATCAAACTCACAAAGAAACCAAAGACAAATTTTTAAAGCTAATTTTAATAGTAGAAAATGGGAATAAAAGAGTCATAATATACAGCACATGTCTCTCTTAGAAATCCCAATTAGATGTTAGTGATGTTATAAAGGATCACTAAAAATGCTGATATTTTTCAAAATGAAAATTGCATTAGCATAAAATCTGAAACTGCAAAATTCCTACTAAGAAAATGATCTCAAGCTTATTGTCATGATGCAGCTTAAAATCCTATTTAATATATTTGGCAAGTAATGGAACATAAAATTTGCAAATAAAATATTTCATTAAACAATCATTCAATATGAATGAAAAAACAATAGGGTAAAAATAATAGAATTCAAGTAAAAAAGTGTAAGCCATGCTTTAAGTTATAAAAAAACCTAAAAAAACATTCAAAAAAGGGTACAGTTTTTATTTGATAAAATAATCTAGTATAACTGATCTTCTTCATGATTACTTTTGCGACCTGATTTTCTAAACCAAAAGAAAAGATATAATTTTTTAAGCTTAATAATTTAGTTTTAGTAAAAATATTTAGTGTCAGGAAAACACCTGTTAAAGGTATATTTCAAAGAAAATCATATTCCAGTTTCACGTTGATGTATAAAAATTAGTGTATGTATCAATATTAAATAAATATTTACACATGTACATTACACACATACACATACATATTTGAAATCAAAGCATCCAATCACTTTTACAAAACACTGTACGATGACCCTAACAAATGAATTTTCTTTAACTTTCTTTTAACAACCCTTTCTTTCCTTATTCTGTTAGGTATATAACTTATGAATTTTCATCAAAATGGTTACTTTTCATAATTGATAATTTTGAAGAAATTTTGAGTCTGACTTAAAAAAAAAAAAAAAAAAAGTTCTAGTATTCAAAAGACTTCAAGCAGTATATGAACTACAGAAAGATTTTACTAAGAGGATGAAATGTTTAAAACAATACCCAATATAACATTTTATAAACATATTTTAATTTCAAATAAGAAATTACTAACTTTGGAAGTAGAAGCTTTTAAATGATTTTTGTCTTCATGCATTTCTTCAGAAACTATGATATTCTTATTTCCAACAAACTGGGGCCAAAAGTCTTGTGTTTTCAGAACTTCTGACTCGATTTTTTGATCATCTGAAATTGGGCTGGGGCACTGAAATGGAAAGCAAATTAAATGTAAGAATTTTAAACATGCTAATTTACTGTATTATTCAATCATATATATGGGATACTAATAATAATTACCTTCTTTATAATGTAAAATTTAAAATCATTAACATATTATAGTTTTCAAGATACTAATGAAAAATTAAGAAAATCTACTAATTTCAAAATTATTAAAAGCACATACTTGTTAAATAATTACTTATCATAGTCTTAAAAGGCAAGAATTTAATTATAATTGTAACTGTATTTCACTGTATATTTTATTCATTATAATATATAATCATCGTATTACTCAGCTTCAGTTTATCAAGCTATGAAGTGGAAATACTTTTATCCTAATTATTTTGTCGTGTACTGCAGGTTCATACAAATCTTCTTAAATACCAAGTCAGGATGAATAGAATTTAACCAAACTTGTGATTTAAAACAAAAAAGGAGAGTTCTCAGAGAGAAGATAAATAGTAATAAATAGTAGTATATTCAGAAATTAGCCAAACTTCTTCTTGTCACCAAAATCATTTGCAAAGTGAATAGTAGCTGCCATTCATTGATTGGGAAGTTCAACAGCAAAGAAGTATCACAACTCTGAAATGAAGATAGGGCTGAAAAAATTAAAGGAATGACTATAAAACTCAAGTTTCTTGAATTATTTTGCAGTTCAGAATATGGAACTTGCACAAGATCTTTATTTTATCATGTCTGAAGTATCTTCAAAATACAGAATTGTTTATTTCAGGAGATGGGGAATCTAAATGAGAACACAGGAAATGTGAAATAAAGTGGAGCAGGGAAAAGTTGGTGTTGTTACTTTTTAGAGATACATAGAAAAAAAAATTAATAAGTCATGTGTGGCCATGCAAGCTTTACTGTGATTTTTCCACCTGGTATATTATATTACCTAAGAGTTTGTAAGTTAACAAAGAGTAATTCAGACTGAACAGCACCCAGCACCTTGAAGCCCGTGAAAAGTGCTAGGTGGGGATGGCAGTGAGTATTGTATTGCGCTCCAACATGTTTTATCAGATTTAAATTTGGAGAATATATGGGTCACTATGCCTACTAGATTCCTTTACATTCAAGATAATCAATCACTAGTGCAGTGTGATAGGGATCAAGCATTATCGTCCATTAGAAGGATGTTATCACCTACACCTCTAAACAACTTGATATAAGGATCAAGAACCTCATGTCTATATTTCAGCATTCATAGCACTGGAAAAAATGGCTACAGTGTCTCACAAAAGTGATGGGACACTTGTGCTTTACAAAAGGAAAACTGTGTAAACTGTAGTAACAATTAATTACATACATACATTTTCTCAAAATATTCAAATTATTATAAAAATACATTGTTTAGAATGAGCAAAAATGGCGCACATGAGTGATGGGACATTACTTTAACATCAAATATTTATCCAAAAATTTTTACTTTTTTAAAGGTTTAATATTGTGGATTTCCTTTTACTTTTAAAACATGATTTAATCTCATGGGATGGATTCGACTAAATTTTTATGATTTCTGAGCGATTTTACCCCATTCTTTTTGAAGCACCGATTTCATTGTTTTTGAAGAATGTGTGTTTTGCGAATTCTTGATTCCAATTCTTGCAAATATTCTCTATGGGATTAAGTCTGGAGACTGTGGTGGTGTTTTTATATTCAGGATAGTTAACAGCAGTCAGAATCTAACGTTCAAAGCAGGTGCTTGGAGCCATGTCTTGGTAGATTTAAATGTTATGAAGGTCAATTTTCGTGCTGAAGATTTCAAATTTTGATTTAAAATGTCAATATACTGTATTGATCCATTACACTGTCAATAAAAACGATTACCAACTCCAGCGGACGACATACACCCATACCATAACTCCTTCTCCACTATTTTTACTGTTGGCACCAAGTCTGTTTGCAAAATTCTTTCCTGGGTTTCTCCACATCAGATTCTACCATCAGAACCAAAATATATTAAATTACTCTCATCAGCAATATAATTCATTCCAGTAATCGAATTCTTTTATGTTGATTTTGTGAAAGCCAGTTGAGTTTTCTTCTTTCACTTACAAAGAATTTTTCCTGGCTGTCTACCGTGATATCCAGCATCGAATTACTCTTTAATAGTCTAGGATTAACAATTACTCCTATAATGCTTGTAAATCAGCAGCAACTTTAGGAGCACTATTCTTGGATTTTTTTTAATATTTCAAACGATAATTCGTTTATTCTTTGGATAGCTTTGATGTCGGCCAGGTCTCTTTTATCCTGATCATATGATTCTTTTATTTGTTTAATGATATTGAAAACTGTTGAATGACTCAGTTAACTGTTTCAGCAGTTTCTCTAATAGATTTCCACGTTCAATTGCAAATTAAGAACTAATTTCGAATTCAGGTAAAGTTTCTTTTCGTTTAGCATCATGGCTGCACAGAGCTAAAAAATGCAAAATTTCCAAAACAAACTGGAGAGCATACTGGGTATTGTATTGCGCTCCAACATTTGACAATTTGTGTCCCAAATCGAGGATTTTATAAATTATTGCCAATTGTTTTGAGTAAAATAAAAACCCCAAAAATATTTTATTGTAGTACGTAGTAGTATCTAATGGTGTCCCATCACTTATGTGAGCCATTTTTGCTCCGTTCTGAACAATTGTTTTTTAAAATTAATATGTAATATTTTGAGAAATGTATCTTATGTAATAATGTTACTAAATTTAAGTATAAACACCCCACAAAAAATTTTTAATGTTTTTTAAATTTATTTTATTACAGTTTCCTTTTGTAAAGCACAAGTGTCCCATCACTTTTGTGAGACACTGTAGCTCAGTGTGGCTATTCAAAATGATGCCTATCCATACCATGATTTCACCATCTTTGTACTGAAACCCTTCATGAGTATTTTCAGACTTACTGCCTACATTTTACTTTATCCAGATGGAAGCTTAATGTATATGTTTTGCTCTCAGTAAAAATAACTTGGCTCTATTCCATAGTATTCTAATCACAATAATCTCTGCACCATCTGATCTGAGCACATTTCACAGTCTGAGTTAATGGGACCAGTTTGTTAGAAGCTGGTATTGCAATCTAAGGTAGATGCACAATTAAGCCGACCCCAACTTAAGACCTTTGTATTAGATGGGAGGTGTGAGTGTGTGTGTGTCTGTCTGTAGGCAGAAAAATAACCAATCGAGAGCTTAGAGAAAGCAATACACTGTCACCCCGTCCTACACTTATGGGCGACATATCAAAACATACTCTTGTTTCTCATGGCTGAACAGATTGACAGGGGTCACCAATCCCGGTGAACATCAAGGTGTGTGGCACATTTAGCCTGGAGATTTGACTGGTCATCAAAGTGTCCTCGCCATAGTTTAACTATGATAAATCCTCCTCCTCTAGTGGGATACTGGGGCTTTACAAAAAACTACATTACATTAACCCTTTAACTGTCAAGTTATTTTGATGATTTTAGCACACAAATTGTCAAATTTTTTTATTGGAAAAATCAAATGTTTAGTACAAAATAAAATATACTTAAGTAGTTAAAAATTGATATTTTGAAGTACATGGGTAAAATTTTAAAGTTTGTAGCCATGCATATTTGCTTGAGGCGGGTGCCACTCAACAAGACAGTTGTAAAGTTCGCTTCTAGTGGAGCATTATTTTAGTAATTCAGTCTTGTGAGGTACAACTGGAAACACTTTTCCAAGCACAAACCAACTCCACAATCACTACACCAGAATCGTGTTTCCTTCCTTATTTTTTCCCCATTTTTATCCTTTTTCGAACAACACGCTTTGCACTGTCTTGTAGGCTCACGTTTCGCAGGAGTAGGAGGAGTATGGGAAATAAAATGTCATTCAAAAAATGCAATACGTTTCCCAACTACATTTTTATAGAGCAAATATGAGTTCCAGAGTAATGTCTAGTAAATGCAAAAAAATCTTTTATAATATTTTCTGAGTTTCAGATTTGGTGAAAGGATATTCCTGATCAAGTTACACCACCTATAGGTAGACTGTAATCATAAACAATCTTCAGCTTGAGTATATCTCCATTTTGTTTTTTTTGAGGCTGACCATGGAAGTATCATTGAATACTATCATCAAACCACATCCTTCATCTTCGTTGAAGAATCTAAATCATCTACATAAGTTTCAAAGAACTGGACACCATTTTACACAAAAGATCCGTGCACTTTGAACCAAAGAACTTATAACCTCTAACCTTGAAATCTTCAGTAAAGTGCGTCATCTATGAATTGAGCCCACATTAATTTTCCCGAGATACAGTTGATTTGCCAAGAATTGAAGCCGAAATAATAAACGTCTCCCGATATATATTCGGTATAACAATATGATGCACTTAAAAAAAAAAAAAAATATTACCCCGAGTAATACTCGGGCGTGACATTTTCAAACATTAGTGATCTTGGGCATGACAGTTAAAAGGTTAATGAATCTAAATTGAAGGGAGGGTATATAAACCACAAGGAATATTAACAGACTTCTAAAAACTAATTCTGATAATTCTGATTCAGCATTTTTTTAAGCATGGGCTGTTTTCATATATTGACAATTATTTTGTCCAAGTTTCTTCATTTGCTGCCTTGCAAGTAGCTCTGCTGCTTTAACTTGCTCTGCTGCAGGTGGCTCATACTTTGTTGAAAGCTGACAAAAATAACAACATATTCACAAAGAGTTTTAAAAGTGGGGGACATTAGCTTCATTTCTCTTAATATTCATTCTAAATATCAACTTCCTATTATTATTGTCTCTCAGAATGAGGTAGAAAAAGCAATTTCAACATAGTGGCTAAAGATAAAAAATTTACATTTAGTATGACCCTTATATAGTAGAAATTATAATTACTAAAGTATTCATTCTGATTTATTACATGCCAAAGTTTCATATCATTGTGTGCAAAATTCATAGATATATGTACAAACATTATTTTCATTTAGCAGCTACCAATTTAATAATGAATGCTATTTTTTTTTATTAGGGACCATTAGCTATCGAATGAGAAATTTGTTTTGCAGTTGCTACCTACATTTGGTTGAAAAATTTTAAATTATGGTCAGAACTAATGACTGAAAAGTCATCTCAATTTGTCCAATAATTTTGCTCTTGAACTACAATACATTAGTTGCTTATTTTGATGACAAAGATTACCACATTGAGGAAAGCAGCACTAGTATTAATTTACAGCTGGTGTAATAAAAATATTAATTATGCAAATCTCTATGAACTTTGCACAAAAATTAATAAATTAGACTAAAAACTTTATGAATTGGAATTTTCGCTTTATAGGAACCATAAGAAACTCAGATTTTACTCTCTTAACTGCAGAACCACTTACTGTAAAAAATTTGTCTACCTCATTTTAAGAAGATTTAGAAGAAACTGGAATCAAGTGCCATCAAATGCACTGAAAACTGAAATTAATCTGAATTAAGATTTTTTCCATTTCTGAACCAGTACTCCATCAACATGCTCTATACTTAACGTACATCTATAAATTTCACCATTCATTTATGAAAATTTCAGTATTAATTTCACTTTTTAAGTACATTACTCATAATCAAATTTATTGTATTCAGTTTCTAAAATTATTGATATTTTTATATTCATTATCAAAATATTAAATATTTTTTATATCATACTCAAAAATACTATTTTTACCTCCATTTTCTTTACTAGTACTCAAAATTATTTCACTTATTTTTAATATTAACTTAATGCAAAAAAATTTAAACCCACTGCACCAGCATAAGTTTTGTAACTGCCATGGCATGCCTTGACCACTGGAGCAGAACAAACAGAGTGAATATGCCCTATAGATGGAAATGTTTAATACTGTAAAGCCTTTCAGTTTGGTAGAATAAAGAATTGCAATTGAAAGATTAAAAACAGTGAAACCATAGTTTCTGCAATATTACTCCTACTATACTCATAATGTTAAAAAAATATAATTTATTAACATGAAAATTAGTGCCATAAAATTTTATATATATTACAAATAATTAGAATATATAACAACTATGCAAAAAGTTCTTTTTAATACTTTGAGGAAAAAAAAAAAAAAACACCCTTTTCTTAAAAAGTCTGATTATGTGGATTCTAAAATAGAAAGAAATTTAGACTAAAATACTGAAAAATTTAAAAGGACTAAAAAAATTATATTTATATTTTAAAAATCTTGTATTAAAAAGTTATACTTTACAATTAATTAATTATGCTGGTCAAAATTCTATGATTTACATTTCTCTTTATTTGCTTTAATGATTTTTCTTCAAAAAGGCTTCTCTGTCTCCAAGTGTCTGCATCTGTGTGCTGTCATGAAGGTGCACTTTGACAGCTATCTTTCATGTTTAAATATCCATGTGTAGCCTTTGGCTAAATACATACTTAGATTTAGTTTTAATTTAAAATTTTGAGTTCACATCATAAATGCTGGCTGATTTGGAAGTACCAGGTTTATCTCCTATTTAACTTACTTAGTTTTAAATAAAAGGGTCTTTTACACCCTTCTTAAGTTCTATTTCATATTAGATATAGCGATAAGTCACTTACACGCCTTTTGGAGGATTTGCCGAAAGTTACATTTAGTTATAGGCACATTTTCTACAATGATTTCATTCTGAATACAAGACTTGCTTTCTGTACTTTGGCCTAGATAGACTGCTGCTTCCTGCTACCTTTTTTACTGCAAAGCTATCCAAAATGTAAATGTTTTGAAATAGGCACAAATTAGAGTGCCAAGATGTTTGTGGCCACAACATGTTTACCAAAATAAAAATGAATATTTAATCTGCCTCGGCTGCCACGTTTGCTCGTCATTATGGATGAACATTTCAGCATTCTGTGATATCAACTTATCATACAATAAATATTACAGCTAAGTCAGCTTCATAATATAAATAATGAAGCAGACTTTGTAATATAACACTACAGGTTAATAGCAATGTAATCAGTATAAAAGTAAAAGTCAAAAGAACCTCTTTTAATTTTTTGAGTTCTAACTGTGCTTGTTTATTTTCTGGTTCTAGCTCCAATGCTTTTGAGAAATCTTCTCTAGCTAAGGAATATTTCTTCAATTTACTCCGTGCCGTTCCTCTCCTAAGATATGCTTTGACATAAGTTGGGTCAACTGCAAGACATGAAGTGCAATCATTCTCAGCAGCTTGAAACCTGTGGGGCAAAATCAACACAATAAACATCCATTTAAAATCATTTTTACAAGCAATGAAAAACTGAGGTTAAAAAATTATCAAAGTTTACTTACTGCTCTTTTTTGAGAAATGCCATGGCACGGTTTGCAGGAAGCAAAGGATTGTCTGGATCTAGTTGCATTCCAGTTGTATAGCAATTAATAGCTGAATCATAGTTTCCTTTCTTAAAAAATTCATTTCCCTATATAGAAATAACAATATTAAAATTTCAGTTACATATCTTGTTGCTTGTTTTATACAATTGAGATGCTTAGACAAATCAAAGAGCACAAAGCAATAAACTAAGCACATGTATCAGTATAAAAAAAAAAAAGAGAGAGGGAGAGAGAAATATATTTGATATACAGTCAAAAGTCGTTAATCCGGACCTCAAAGCTACAAACTTTCTGCGCATGCATTAACACATAATGCCTTCACGCATGCACGTAATACCTTTAAACATGCGCATAGTACGTGTACGCATGCATGTTAATGTATAACGGACGGTATAAGCTAAGCTAAAATTATCTAATTATCTATTTCAGTTAATGTTGCAGAATGCGTTGTCCCTTAATCTTCTAATTGGATCCGGCTTATTATTTTTTGCAGACTGTTAGAGCAATTTTATAAAAGTAAGCTTGAACTTTCGATTATGTCAAAAAGAATTTCCGATTCTGGAGCTACCAAAGGATCTACAAAGCGAAAGCATGTTCCGTTGTTCATCAAACAAAAAGTGGAATTGCTGCAAAAAATGGATAAAGGCATATCCTTTGTTTCTCTAACCATTCCGAAATCTGTTTATCAATTTTCACGCTGCTCTGCAGGGGGAGGGGAAACACGTCATGCGACGTGCAATGAACTGGAAGTTGAATTGTCTGTCAGTACTATTCCTTATCTTCTGGGCAGATGTTTTTATTTTACTCGGCTTATAATTCCTTACTAAATGTAAAGTATTTCATATCGATGTACTCCGTCTTCGATATGATTTAAATCAAATACCTCGTTATTATAAATATCACGAGTACACATTCAAACAGTTTTCTGGTTGCAATTTTCTAATTTCGACTATGCATAATGTATGCTTTATGCATGCGCCCGTTGAAAGAAATGTTTAATAAAGTAAACAAATAAAAATTAAGTTTTTTTTTTTTTTTTTTTGTAAATTTGATACCTTTTAGATCATAATTGCTCTTTATTTCATAAATTACGGTTTCATATTTTTAATTTTATAATTTCTGCATGCCATCTTACGAGATTTAAACTGATGATCTATAATCCGGAATCGCCGACATCCTAATGAGTCCGGATTAACGACTTTTGATTGTATTCATATTAGGAACCTTCCCTAAGCAAAATGTTCAAATTCTTTACCTAATTTTTGTCAAATTCAATAATTTTTTCCCCCAATTCAGAAATGCAAAACTACATTTTAAATAAATCATAATATTTTTGAATTATTAACTTTGATTTTAAAATGATTTAAGCAAAGCATTGCCATCAAAAAATCGTGAAACAATGCAATTACTTATAATACAAAGTCATTTAAAAACACAATTTACTCCATTTGGAACTTCATACCACTTCAATATCACATTAATAACTTTTGATGAATAAGAGCACTGAAAAACGCAAAATGTGCGCAAAACACTATTTTACTCATGATGTGGCTGACATTCAAAGCACTTTGGATGTTTTTCTTTTTATGGGATGATCGGAAATGCATTACGAATATTTGAAGCGAGCGAGAACCCATAACCATATTTCTTCAAAACACATTTGAGCTTGAACTTACAGATACTCGATGATTTTCAAAGCACTTTTTCAATATGCCGTTAAATCACACACTGGAAACAAATTTGATGATTCACTGAAGTTTGAGGCAGCAGAGTTTGAAAACCATTGGAGGAACTTGCAACAGGTTAATCCTATTTTCTCCATTGGGAACTGATATTTTTTCTTAATAAATTGGACATTAAAAATGTAAAACTCTGATATGAAAAAATATAATTTAATAATATTAGAAATTTGAATTCTTATAATTTAGTAGAGTATATAAGAATTCTTAGATTTTGAATTAATTTTAGGGAAGGTTATTAAGATAAATTTTTATATTTTTTAAAACTTTGTTAAAAATTTTGAATACAAATTTTATAATTATTCTAAAAATGAAGTAGATGTAAAAAATAAGTGAAATTAGTGCAGATAAGTAACATGAAATTATGGTAAATGCATGTTAAAATTTATCGGTGATTGTATGTTAAGTATAGAGTATATTGAGGGAGTACTGGGTTCCTAAACAGAGGCCTGTAATTACCTCTGTAGAGTTGTTCCTTTTACCCTCTTTAAGTAAGATTATGTTGGAGGCTCTCATTTTTTGAGTGTGTGTAACTTTTTTTTTTATTGTGAAATGTATTAGTGCAGTTCTTAAAGGCCAGTTAACTTATGCAAGGAACAGAGCCCTTTTCAAGTAACTGCCTAGGCACCCTGGGCCACCAGTGCAGAGAACACACACTCGTTAGCTCAAAAGGACAGCTATGGATATGTTTGTTTAGAAGTATTGCAAGGCCTTCCAGTTAGGTAAAATCAGAAATTGTAAATGAAAGATAATAACGGTGAAACCATAATTTCTGCTATTATATTTATGGTGTTAAAATATAATTTATCAGTATGGAAATTAGCATCATAAATATTTATGTGCGTTACATTGAATTATAAGTAATGATAATGTAAAAGTTTATTTTGTGATATTCTGTGATAATAAGAACCTTCCATGAAGAATTATGATTATGTGAACTCTCAAACAAAAAGACTTTTGGGCTGAAATGCTGAAAAGCTCAATAGGACTCTACAAATTAAAAATTTACTTCAAAAAATTTATATTTATAAATTATACTTTACAGGATAAAAATTTTATGATTTATGTTTTTTTTTTTCTTTTCCATTTGCCATTGCTTTAACGCTTTCTTTTTAAAAAGGCTCTTCTGTCGCTACGCCTTTTTCTTCTTGAAGCGGGGAATATGTAAGAAAAATAAAGAATGTGTAAAAGATTAAATTAGCAGCATAAATTAGTTTCCCTTCTCTATTCTAAAAATAGCAACATCTATCTGCACCGCTTCATTCCGAGAAAAATCTATGTCATATCACTCTTACGTAATTCTGATGATGCAAATGGAACTAAATCAGCCAATAGTAATTTTACAGCAATATTAACTGTCCAATCAAAATACTTTGAGAACCAAAACTAACTCAGTTTGATTTACGTTTTCATCCTGAACATTACGCACTTGCTTTCCACGCTTTCGCCTAGCTGCACTGCTGTCTGTCTGCTGCTGCTTTCTTGCTACAAAGTTATCAAACATGTAAGCCTTTTTGGAACAGGCACATTTAATGTGCCGACTTGCGTGTAGCCACAACATGTTGCTCAAAATAAAACTGAATATTTAATCTGCCTTTGCCTCCAATTTCCTAGTTATTGCTTCTGAGCCTAAATAAATAACTGTGATATTTTGTAGCAGTTGTGATGAAGCTTGGCATCAAAGTGCAGGCATTGCTTTTGCAGAGTGGTAACGCAAAATCCAAATGACGGCATAAGATGATTTAGCTTTTAATTACACATTTTTATTCCATATAGCTTTAATTCAATTTTCACCATAGATAATGCTTTACTTCATATGAAATTTTCCAAATTACATATTCAATAGTGGTTTAAACTAAGTACAATTGAATTTAAACTTTCTGCGTCATAACCTATTGTAAATAAGGAAAGATAGGTCAAGCAGCAGCAAGCGAGGCGAGATGTATAGCACAGGAGGAGAGGCGAGCTTCTGTCCTCAAAATAGCGCACATTCGTTAGTTATAGTAGCGGTTATGTAATGGGCTAGAATGTTCTTGAAGGTACTGGTCTAGGGAGGAAGATTCTGAATTGCAGAAAGTTAATTGGAGGTTGCGTGTTCAAGTAGAGCAAAGCCATCGTATTTTGTAAATATTTTACATCCCCCCTCAAAAACAAGAGGCCGGGTGAGCAAAGCATTAGTAGATTAGTGAAGCAAGAAGTATGAGGAAAGAAATGAAGAAACATCCAGGACATAGCTTACAGGCTTTAAATATGTCCTATCATAAATCATACTCTTTTCTCATATTATTATAAAGTTTTTTAATTATACAATTGTACAATGATTTTAAATAAACATATAACTAAATTTTATATGGAATAATAATATTAAATAAATTACAAGCATAAACGTCCTGAGTTTTTCTCAAAATGTCCATTGAAAATGAAATTTTGGTTTTAAAGTCCTTTCATAAAAATAATTGAAGTCGAATGAAATATTTATTAAAGTCTACAAAGTTATAAAAAATGTAAGCCTTTTTGGAACAGGCACATTTAATGTGCTGACTTGTGTGTAGCCGCAACATGTTGCTCAAAATAAAACTGAAGATTTAATCTGCCTTCGCCTCCAATTTCCTAGTCATTGCTTCTGGGCCTAAATATATTACAACTGAGTCATTATGGAACATCTATGCCATCCAAACTCCTGCTTCTGAATATAGTACATATATACTTTTGGTGCAGCCAACTGAAATCAAAAAGAGAGGTGCATAACTACAAGTTATAGCAATCCCATATACAGTCAAAAGTCGTTAATTCGGTGTTGTGGTGTGGTGTATTGAGTTAATTACGGCAAAGTACACTAGGGTCTATCTGCCTAAGACGAGGGATGCCTCCGTGGAGGACATTTTTAAGGGAAACTGGCTCGTATACACGTTACACATGGGGAAAACCACGAAAAAACACCCATGCAGCCAGCCCGTTCGCAGGATTCGAACCTCGGACCGAACTACCAGTGTTCAGCGACATTACCGCTCGGCCGCTGGTGGGCCGTTAATTCGGACACCCATTATCCGGACCTCAAAGCTAAAAACTTTCTGCGCATGCGGCGCTTTGACACATGTGCATAGGCGTTTATGTGTGCGCGTAAAACCTTTACGACTGCGTATATGCATGTGCGCAAGTGCAGAATACGTTTTTGTGTGCGCCTTTTATGTATAACGGACGGTATAAGCTAAAATTATCTAATTATCTATTTCAGTTAATGTTGAAGATTGCGTTGTTCCTTAATCTTCGAATTGGATCCGGTTTATTATTTTTTGCAGACTGTAAGAGCAATTTTATAAAAGTAAACTTGAACTTTCGATTATGTCAAATAGAATTTCCGATGCTGGAGCTCCCAAAGGATCTACAAAACGAAAGTACGTTTCGATGTCCATCAAACAAAAAGTGGAATTGCTGCAAAAAATGGATAAAGACATTAATAAGGTGACAGAGAGGTTAGTGAAAACGAAAAAATTTCGATTGACAAGTTAGTTGGTATTCTCGGCACAGCAACGTGACTTGAACAGCGGAAGTCGGTATTACTTGAACAGCGGAACTTTGTAACTGAACAAGAAATTATGTCTGTTTATAGAATTAAAGAGAAAGTATTAGCACATAAAACGAAGCAACTTAAACAACTTACATTGAAAGAAATGTTTAATAAAGTAAACAAATAAATATTAAGCTTTTTTTTTTGTAAATTTTGTTACCCTTTATATCATAATTGTTCTTTATTTTATAAATTATGGTTTCATATTTTTAATTTTAGAATTTCTGCATGCCCATCTTACGAGATTTAAACTGATGATCTATAATCCGGAATCGCCGAAGTCCCAACGAGTCCGGATTAACGACTTTTGACTGTACAAAATTTCAACACTTCAACACTCTGATGCGACTTATTTTTGAGTTATGAGAGATACAAACGTACGTACGTACAGACGTCACAATAAAAATCTCTTCTTAATCCCTTTTAAAGAAATTTTTTTACCAGTTTGGGAAAAAAAAAAAGAGTCGTTTATTCCGTCCTTACATACAGATGTCAAGCAAAAGCATCGTTAAATTGCATTAGCAGTCAAAATGGATATTTTCATTGAAATATGATACCAAGAATTTTTCATGATTATAATACTTCCTTTACTTAGTACAAGAAAGTAAAAACGGTAAAGGTTTTATTATGCTTCTTCCATTTTAAATTTAAATAATTTGTTGCTGTTTTATGTAATTATCAGTGTTTCATTTTAGGTGTTTCTTGCATTTTTAATTTCATTAGTTTGCTGCTGTTTTATGCAATTTTCAGCACACCATAATTTTTTTTAAATGGCTACTATTTTTCATGTCTGAGTTAGGTGAAAAATTAGTTGCCAACGACTGCTGACTTTGCAGGAGGGTTGGGCAGATAATCTGAGAATACCTTTTTCTCTGATGATATTATACTGCCCACATTGAAGAATGTGCTACTATTTATGAAGTTTCACATCAAAATAGGCAGTTTTTTTATGCAAGTGCTTTATTCATGAATAAAGACAAACTGTGAGAACGCATAATGCAGATTTGTTTAATTGAAAGCATAAAATATACTTGAAGGTTACAAGATTCTTTTGATTAAATTCTGGAAAGGATTAGAGATGATGGACTTTGAGAGAGATAAAAATTATCCATGACAGAGGTAATAATATCCGAAACAAGATAAAAGATAATAGTATCTTAGCTAATACCTAAGATATATGAGATAATTATCTATGACTATGATAGTGACAATGATTATCTATTGACTGTAATAGAGATAATAATTATCTATGATACATAAATGCACTTACACGGAGGCAGAAAAGCATGAAACAGTTCATGTTTCACCATGCTTTGTTGAGATAAACGACCAAAACACATTATCAATAGGGAAGAAATCAAAACAGTATCAATTAACATGTAAGTATCCATTTACACAAATGAGTGAATTAATATGCATTAAATGAAGATTTTCACCAAGTCATTTTAGTAGGTATAAAAAGTAAAAAAAAAAAAAAAAAAAAAAAAAAAAAAAAAAAGTGATTATGATTAAGAGTACCTTATCTTTATTTAGGATAGCCAACTGCTTTTTTTTCTGCAAACACATTTCCTCATCTTGATCACTATTATCAGATGGACTAGAATGCTTTGTTTCTTCATCTGCTTCATTTTTTGTTTCCATATCCTAAATTAAATGCATGAGAAATATTAGTTCTAAAAATGGAAGGCAACTTTAAACTGAAGTTAAAAAAAAAAAAAAAAAAAAAGGGAGATAAATTTCTAATGTTCATTAACTTTTTATGCTGTACTATTAAAAAGAGAAGAAAACAATTTTCAAATAAAGTAGAAACTAATATGAGAATAACAAAGAAGCATATGTGGGGAGATGTTCACTAGTATAATTTTATATGTCTACATATATAATATAGCCATTAGTTTAGTTAATTCATTTTTAAAAACAGTTGACAATTTCATGAAAATGGTGCGCTTAGTAGGGCAAGAAAATTCTTAGAAGCATTCCTTTTTTTCCTTACAGTAACTTTCCTCACATATTTCAAACAGTAGTTAATCAATTTTTTTTTGTGAGTGGACAACAAAGTGACGATGTGTTTTGATTTCATCAGGATGAGACTTGAGTCATTTCAAAGAATACCTGGAATATCATTCTGGCTAGAAATGAACTAATTACAGCCATTTCTTCCACTAACAGGCATTCACAGAATCATAAGCTGACCAATCTTCCTCCTCTGGTAGGCTCTGTCCTTCCTCAAGAAGTGTCCTCCCAACTGTCCTCCTTTTCAATATTTTACAACTAATCGGTTTATCTCTGTATTATTTAAAGATGCCGTGTCGGAATGTTATGTGTCAATTGTCATGTGATGGTGCAGCTCGAAAAAACATGATTATAATACGCATACACAGCACATTCTGGGCATATCAAAACTTCCCACAGCCACACTTGATTATCTAACATTTCTCTTTTATTTGGCAAGATTTTGATAATTTAAAATTACATAAGCATTAAATAAAAATTAAAAGGGCAATTATCAGAAATGTCACTGACAAGATTAAGTAACAGAAAACTATTGTTGGTAACATTTAGAATATCAACACTGTTTTGTATTAGCTGAGAAATGCTTGGCGCCAGAGCGGAATCTTGGCTAATGGCGCATGCGCCGCCGGAATTAGCGCTGAAATGTGTTCTGTGAGAAATTTGACTTTTGTGGTACATTCGAAGTTGCGATTCATATGTTACGCTGTAAGGTGAAACCTAGCGGCAGAGAGTCACTATAAAAAATAAATGTATTGAAAATTAGAGTGTTATTTCTGTGTAATGTGTGTGGTGTTATTTTATTATGATATATAGCTATCAACGGGAAATAGAATAAGTCAATTCAAACACAAATACTTTACCATAATTTTAATGCTATTCGTATTTAGTAGATACTTAGCAGAACTACAACTTTTATTCTTTTTAATAGAGAACAGACATTAAAATAATTAACTGTTACTAAACCTTAGCCTGTCGAGCGATTTTCTGCGAACCCCCTTAAAACTGTCACTGGTTTTGGACCGAACTTCCCGAAAATGTCGCGAAAATAATCCTAAACCCCTGAAAATTATCAGGCAGTTCTTTTGTTATTTCCCATCCCTCCCAGAATTTTACTTCAATGATTCCGCTAAGTGAGAATGATTACTAGATATTGTTCCGTAGATGTCAGCTGTCAAGAGAATTGCAAAAGACTAGAATCTCCGTGATGACCATCTCAATGCCACAGGGTACAGCTGCGAAATTTAAAAGTTTACTTCCTTAAAACAATCTTATTTTCAAATAAATTGGTTTTAAAATTTACCTGGTTAAATTTTTAATTATTACGCATTTTTAACCTAAGTATCCTAAATCTGTATGTCCCTGATTATCACCTGAATTTCAATACAGACTGATTAAACTGCTATCACTAACTTATATTCTGACAAATATCTCTTTCATTCCTTCTGAGATATTGCTGAACATTTCGTATTATTTCCGATTTCCTGTCCGTATTTTTGTCATTAATGAAAAATCTTTCAAACTTTCAACATTTTCCTATATTCTTCAACTGCATGCAAATAATTATTTTAAATAATTTCTTTTTGCCCTAATTATTACGTAGTTTTAAGAGTAAAAAACGGAATATTTGGGTGTTATTTAAGGGTGATAATATTAATATTAAATTTGGATTTTACTTTTTTATATATAGTGGTGGCCAAAATTGTGGACACTTTTGGAAATTTTTATGTTTTTGAACTTTGCATGCTCATAGAAAATGTTACGTTTCGCAAAATGCAAACTTGTATATATCATTTTAAAGAGAAATTATTAATGAATTCAATACAAAACACAAAATTCAATTATTTGCAGTACAAAAAAAGTTACATGTACTTTAATATAAATAAAAAACACAGTTATGAAGTGGTTTGTAATGTCTAGCTTTCCTGGCCAATCACTGTTCTTGTTCTAAGAACCAATTACCCTGTGCGTAAATGTTATTAACTGCCAGTAGAAGCTGACATCATGTTTACACTTGAAACAATTCATTATTTTGCTTTGTTCTGTAGAAGGAGGACTTGTTTTTTATACACTGCAATTACAAGTAGGAATTTTTGTAAAAATTTTTAATATTTAGTCAAGAAGCAATGAATCAAATAAAAGAGTAGATTGGACAACTAGAAAGAGATGTAATATTATTTTGTTACGAGAAAGTGGTCTTTCCTATGCTGAAATTGCAAGACAGGTGGGTAGTTCAGCGACTACATCTGGAGTTCGAAAGTTTTGTTTACGATATCAGGAGACAAATTCAATAAAAAACAAAGAAGGAAAAGGCCAAAAAAGGTGCACCACATCTATTGATGACAGAAAAATAAAAAGACTATGTCTCCAAGATAGAAAAATGTCATCAGCGGCCATCAGAAGTGATCTGAATGATGCTGGTGTTTCTGTCAGTTCAAGAACAATCACGAGAATATTAACAGATGTTGGACTGAGAGGTAGAATTTCCCGAAAAAAGCCTTATCTTAATTTTCAGGAACGAAAGAAAGACTGCAGAGGGCAAAGGAACACATTAATTGGACAGATGATCAGTGGTCATAAGTTATATGGAGTGATGAAACTAAAATATCGTTATTCAGTAGTGATGGGCGAAAATATGCAAGACGTAGAATAGGAGAAGAGCTACATCCTGACTGCATTCAAGCAACTGTGAAGAACCCAGTTAGTGTTATGATTTGGTCATGCATGTCAGCAGATGGTATTGGTCGCCTTCATGTCATCGATGGGACATTGAATGCCAGAAAATACATTGACACTATTCTAGAACCAAAACTTCTACCTTCCATTAGAGATCTCTTTCCCAACAATGCTTCGTTTATTTTTCAGCAGGATTCTGCTCCTTGCCACACGGCCAAAATATCGAAAGAGCGGTTTCGTACAAAGAGCATTAAATTGTTGTCATGGCTAGGAAACAGTTCTGACCTCAATCCTATCGAAAATTTGTGGCACCGTTTGAAAACTCTTGTCCGAATGAGGCGCCCATCAAATAAAAGGGATCTAATTGAGGCTATAATTGTTTCCTAGCATCATGTAATAACGAAAGAAGAGCTTAAAACTCTTGTCAGCTCAATGAAACGTCGATGTGAAGCTGTAATCAAAAATAAAGGGTACCCTACTAAGTACTGATAACTCACTGCAATCATCACTATCTAATGTATATCGATAACTATTATCGTTTAACTTTTTTTCTATTGCAAATAATTGAATTTTGTGTTTTGTATTGAATTCAGTAATGAATTCTCTTTAAAATGATATATACAAGTTTGCATTTTGTGAAACATAACGTTTTCTATAAGCATATGAAGTTCAAAAACATAAAAAAATTTCCAAAAGTGTCCACAATTTTGGCCACCACTGTACATTCAAGATATTCAGAAAGGAAATTATAACCTGAAACTGTTTTCAGTAAATCATAAATTTATTTACTCAATTTAAAAATTCTTGCTTTCCTGTCCAAGAAATAATAGTAAACTTTAACTGAAATAGGAAATATGAGACATATTAATAACAAAGAAAGCAATTAATTTGGAATTCAAACAACAAAAATCAGCATTATATTTTCAAATTTTCACAGGACTAGTTTTGATGGTTTTACCGAACCATCATCCTCAGTTGCAAAAGCGCAAATGAAAGAGAGAAGATATAATGAAAATTAGATTGTGAAAATTTGAAAACATAATGTTGATTTTTGTTGTTTGACTTCCAAATTAATATTTGTTCCGCGTGTTATTGTATCTTAATTAAACAAAGCAATGTTGTTACTCATTAGCTTACAATATAATTTATTCAGTATGGTATTTTTGTAAAGAAAGAGTGTTGCTGTACATTTTGTAAAGTATAAATAAGCATTGCATTTAATAATTATAACAGTTATTAATTATTTAATAATTAATCATAAGAATATGAGCAATTAAATATTTTTTGGAGATATATTTTCCGGCAACATTTTTGAAGCATTATGCTCTAAATAAATGTCTTGTTTGAACATAGCATTAATAATTGACACCAAATCTCCAACCAAAGGAAATGCCTTACTAGGGAGGATATTTAAACAAAAAATTTTATTATAATAAATATTTTCGTTATTTTAATATTACTAAGAATATACAAACAGTAATTTAAGTTCATTATAGTTGAGTAAATAAGATTGCTGGATGTTGGCAGTTTGCTGTTGGCAACCGAACGGTTTAGCTGCTTGGTGTCTTTATGATTTTCCCTGTGCGTAACGTGAATTCAAGCCAAGATCTTTAAGGATCTTTAGGGATCAGATTATGTTGTCCTTCGTTACATCGATGGTGTCACTAAACTCTTAAATGAAGGACCATATAATCCGATCCCTAAAGATCCTTCACGTTCGGACTTGTCAAAAATAAAAAATGCAATCAAATCTTCACAAATCATTTCAAGCAACTTAAAATATTTGCTTATCCCATCTGTTGCAAATTGTGCCAGATTATATGCTCTTCTCAAAATTCATAAAAGTGGTATTCCTTTCCGCCCTATTGTATCAAATTTAGGTACTGCCTCATATCCATGCTAAATACGAGGGTTGGAACTTTAATAGTGGCAACACAGCTGAAAAAACGCTATGCAAC